CAAACGGACCTATGCAAACGGAACACGTATATATATATATATATTTATATATTTACTTTTTGTTCGCAGCTCCCTGTACGATCAGAACGTTCTTCTCCGATTCGAGATCCGGCCTCTCCTTTGCTACAACAATGCCCAATAATTGGTCCTCCAGTCCGGTCGGCGTTATCATGAAATTTAGCAGCGTTACTTTCACCGCTATCTCTGGCAGGTAATGCGGATTTCTCAATCTTGTGGTAATGTACAGCCTGTAACGAGAGAGACAGAGACAGAGAGAGAGAGAGAGTGGGGGCGGGGGGGGGGTGAGGGAAAGAAAAATGGGAGAAAAATGGGAGAGAAACAACGTGTTTAGATTAGCAGACGACGAATCCACGTACCTGAAATTACTGTTGTACTCGATGATCGCGTCACCGAATTTTATGCAGAGCACGCCAGCTTGCTTGAACGTTTCTTTGAGTAAAATCGGCTCGAGCATCGCGTCCAATTCTTCGTCAACGTGTTCGAGAAGTACCGGCAGTCCAAATTGCAACGCGTTTTCCAACACTCGGCCGTAATCTGGCTGAGTTAGCCGAATAATGTTCACGTTATTTCGTTTCTCCATGTTTTTTATCCATCTGTTGGCTTGACCTTGAGGATCTATCACCAGCGGCCATCTTCTCGCATTTCTGCACGTTCGACGATGCAAATGTCGTGGCAGTTGGTGTTATTATATTATATTACATTACACAATATAGTACACAATATACAAACAAACGTCTCAGATTAAATGAAAGAGAAAGGTAAGAGAGAGAGAGAGAGAGAGAGAGAGAGAGAGAGAGAGAGAGAGAGAGAGAAGACGATGCGTGCAGAAATTACTTTGCTTACTCGATGATAATACCGTTGTCGATGGAAAACGCATCGTTCGGAAGTCCGAAAATATTCCAAGATCTGATGGACACTGGGTCCCCGAGAACGTCACGTAGTTGAAAGTCTGAGCTACAAATCACTCGCAGATTGGTACATCGTTCTACCCATAGAGCGATCTGTCGAAGACGAAACGGCATTGTGAAGGGAGCTAGGTAGGCGATTACGCCCGAGGCAATCACAATGTCACCCATTAATCGCTGGTACCTGGCAATCGGTGTGAAACGTTCGCTGTGAAACTTTCATACGATCATACGTACGAAAAATACGAAAAATACGAAAAATACGAGGAAACGCGCACCTTTCTCCTAAAAATTTCGCTGTATCGGACCAACGCGTGTATTCTCCGCCCAGTCCTCCGATCAAGTCTTCGGCACGTTTCAGCTTGACTTCGCAGTCTGCCACTTTGTCGGACATTGCTTGAAAAGCCATTTTTCTTTGCTCCAGAACATCTTCCAACGTTTTCAATCTTTCCTACATTTTTTTTTTTCTCTTTCTAATCTTTCTAATACAAATATTCGAAAAAGTAAAAAAACACCGTCGTCGTACCTGTACTTGTCGAAGTTGTTGCCGTTTCGCTTTTAAATTATTCATAGCCTCGTCGTAAATCTTGCGAGCTTCTGCCAGAGCTTTCTTCTTCGGAGCCACTACCTTCGACACTTTGTCATATTCCGACATTGCGTACACCCATCGGCACAATCCCTCGCACGCGGTCGATACTTTCTTTATCTTCTCGGGATTGAAATCCGGGTTGGTCAAGTATTCGCTTCGAATTTTCTCAATCACGGCGTCGGGAATGTTGTCTTTGTCAAAATTCAGCAACGAATCGAGGAATTTCACGTCGCTCAGCATTCTCAGAGCTGCCCTCCAGTAATCCTCCGCGAACGTGCCATCCGGTTGCTGAACTTTCTCCGGTTTTATTTGCTGCAGTACATGCGAATATAAAGTACGAATATAACGCACGAGAACTACAGTAGAACTACAGTAGAACTACAGTAGAAAGGGTAATCGACTGCTGTCGATTAAACGTTAAACATTTCGCCGCGTTTGCAGCAACAGCTTGCGTCGCGCGTCGCAATCTCTCGTAGCAATTCTCGTCGTAGGTCAATTTAGTTCAAATCGCGAACAATAGCGATTGAACAAGATTATTCTTATCTTTATCTTATCAGTTTCGCTTCTTCGGTGGTGGCGAGTGGTGAGACGGTAAAAATTTTACGCGGATTTAACTAAAAGTTACTTATAGAACTACTGCTGAACTGAAAGTTGAGAGAATTTTCAACCTTGAGAACACAGACGCTTTCGACGATCAACCTGACTGCTTGCGGCGGTTTCTTCATCGCTCTGACTACAGCGATGTCAGCTGTCGTCAAAGTGTCCAACGCGGCTTGCGCGCGTTTCAGAATCGGCATCGCTTCGCTCAAATCAGCGTCACATTCCGCTTTGATCGCGGCTGCTTCGTTCGCGTAAATCTACAACACATCACAACACTACAATTGGATGGCAGTGGAGTCTAGATCTTTCTGGATCGAGTAGAAAAGAGCAGAGAGTGCCGATCGAGAATCTCTGTCTTTGTATCGCGCAGAAGTGGACGAATATTGAACGGTCGCGATGTTTCGATTTCTATCTCACCTCAGCTGCGCTCTCGTCCATCTTGACGATTTTCTCAAATTCCGCCACTTCTTGTCTCTCTCGGTCAACTTCCTGCAACGTTCTTTCGACATCTTGCGTGGCGGTTATCAGTTGCGGTTGCAACGATTTCAGAATCTCTCGCATCGTCGCTACTTGCTTTTGCGTTTCATCCAACTGGCCCAAACCACGTTCGTATCGAACTTTTGCCATCGTTATTTCTCTAGTTTGCGTCGAACAAATCCATTCGAATTCATTGGAATTCGCTCGAATGACAATGATGACACGCGACAGTGAGACAAGCGCTATCTCGTAGTTTACTTACTCTTTTTACTTACTCTCGTTTCCTCGTCAACAGATCTTTAAACGTATTTATCATCTCGAGGTATGAAATTGGAGTGACGTAAACGTGTCTGCCCAGTCGAATCAGGAACTCGGCGCTTGTATCTTGCGTGGAAACGTGAAAGAATTGACACATGTCGATGCCAGCGGCCCTCTCGTTGTCCGTCAATTCGATCGTCGAGAGAAATTTAGTCGCAACCGCCAGCAGGGCATCCTCTGGCCACGGCTTTCCGGAATCGGAATCGAATCGAATCGAATCGAATCGAATCGAATCGAATCGAATCGAATCGAAAATATTGTAGAGAATGAAATTGAACTTGAAATTCTTTACGTAAACGATTCGGAGGAAAATTCGGTATTTCGAGATATATACCTGGAGCCAATCGATGGTGCAACAGTTGACCAATGCCGGGAATTTCCTGATCCTAATGCGAAAATTACTTCCTATCGGTGACATGGTTATCACGATGTGAAGTTGATCGCGTGTTATCTGGACAAACAGATTGAACAAAGCAACCGCGCTTCCATCCGTTTGTACCGACCGATCCCGCTGCCTGTCTATTTGCCTCATCTGCTCGCAGATCTCTGCCAGTTCTTCGCCAGTAAATATATTCGGTATCTAGATATATATATATATATATAATTTCACAGCCCTCACTCACTCACTGTGACTGTGATTTCAAGCAGGAGCAAAACGAGCATAAACGAGCAAAACGAGCAAAACAAAAAGAAAGGATAAAAAGAGACATGTCGTTTACCTCTCCGGAATTAAGCAAATTGCTAATGTCCTCGAGGAAGTTCTCGTGTTTGATTTGAGTATCGGAGAAGAGGAAGGTAGAATGAAGATCGGTGGCGGTCGCGCGTCTCAGAATTCCCTTGACATCGTCGTGCCACGCGTGAACACCGTATTGCTGAGTGACTTCAATTTGAAAAACGTCGTAGTCGGATATGTGCGAGGCCAGCCTGGTCAACGACTGCCTTCCCGTGCCCCCAACGCCGACAAGCACCGCGTGACCTCGCGGTTGTTTGATAACGCGGCAAATCCGCGCCAAATGTTCGATGGCAAACCTAACGCCGCGACGTTTGTTCGTTTCAATTTCTCCTTTCATTTCTCATATGCGGTCTCATGTTCGCCTACGTTACTACGTTTCGCCAACTAATCGCGCGTAATATTCACAATCCATAAGTATTTAGTTAATATACAGTTACATTACCGGAATAACACCAAGTTCATCGGCTTTCTAGACATTGCGTTGTACTCGGCCAAATAAGTTTCCACTATCTCTCGTAATTGCTCGAGATTTGAAACCTCCTGGTACAGTCGCGTGTCCACTTTTGCATCCCCAAAGTCGCAATACACCAAGTTCCGAAGTTCTTGCTCGGTGATGCTTGTTCTTGCCTGACGTGACTCGAGAGTTCGAAGAATCGTGAATCGAGCAAAAATAGAAACAGAGGTGTACGACAGTTGGTGTATGTATTTTATTAATTATTAATTTATTGGAAAATTCTTAAATTCTTAAATTCTTTTCTCTCACTTGGTCGCCATGCAAGATGATCCTTTCTCCCTTCTCCCGCGAGGGTAACAGATCCTCGAACAACTCTTCCATCGACACGTTCATTCGACTGTTCAAAGTGACGCGTATTTGCTTCACCAGCCAAGAGACGTCTTCTCCGTCTGTCAAACGATCTCCGAAAACTCGCAGTACCTCGTGAACCCAGAGTCTTGTCATGCTGACCAAGCTTGGCATAGTTTCTGGCACGGATAACAGGACACCCTGGTCGGTCGGATCGATTCGAAAAAAAAAGGTGAAGAAAACGAAGAAATATTCACGGAAATATCAACGACGACGATCTCGGGAGAGAAGAATAGAAAAAAGCAATCAAGTGTACCTGTATCACTTTGGAGAAGTCGCGTAGATTGAAGAGATAGTGACATTTGGCCGGTGTTGGTAAAAGATTCGAGAGACTCTGCTTGTACACGTCCAACGTGCCAAGAACGATTTCATCGATACACGGATCAAACTCTTTACCGAATCCTCTGCAAAAGTAGAGACTAGAAACTTTACTTTCACATCTAGTCATCATAGATGTTGTTGCAGTATGCTTGCACGCGTGCAACAAATATAGGGAGAAGTAGAAAGTAGAAACCTTGTATCGAGATGCCAGAGAACGATTTTACTAAATATCGTGGTCATCACTTCGTCTTCGAACTCCGATATCGTTAAAACGACAAAGTGCCTTTTGAACCGAGGTGTGACGTCTCTTCCGCCACGATACGGCGGAGCCATAGCGCACATTAGATGAACATCGATCAACTTTATCATACATTTCTCTTTCCTATCGAACCTGTGACAAGTTTTTTCGACCGCGTCAATCTATGGGCAATCTATGGGATTTCTTACGCAAAGGAAAGGAAA